TGGTAATTAATCTTCTTATGTAAATGAGACAATCCTGCACACACAGATTAGCTGGATTCGTTATGCGACGCTATTTCGTTTTGTGATGTCAAAAGAAATGCATGCTTCTGCGGATTTGGCTGATATTTTCAAATAGGCGCACAAGGCTTACCTACCTAGTGGCGTGGGAATGGCATTGAAGTAAGAATTGACAAAATGGGAAAGAAGTCAATAAGTGCATATTTTCAACAATGAAGCAGACAGGCGTCAGTTTGGGTCAAATAATATCACTCCTCGTCACCACTTTCCAAGGCTTAGAAGGCATTCAAACAGAAATACAATATTTATATTTGAATGGAAAATGCTTACTTTTAACTTTGAAATAGACAACAAGCACATTTTATCAATAATTTGCCGGTAATCCAAGTGGTGCAAGCTCCCGCCTCTTGTTGCACTTTGTTCCGTTTTAAATTATGAGTCTGGTTTCTGCATGTATGAACAGAAGCAATTCACTGTCTTAAAAAGGTCCATTCAAATTTCCCACAACTTTTGTGACTCTTTTGTGAATGTCTGATTTGTAACAGAGCCTCCCATGAAAGACAAAAAGGTGCATAAAAAGATGCGTTTCTTTTGAAAGCGAGGACGATTTCAGCCATTTGCGCTTAGGCATATTACGTGAGGGAGAGAAAGCTGTAAGATACATATACAGTTTATCAGCAGGGATTAAAAAAAGCTTAGTGCATCCCTTTTGCATTTGCTGGATTTTTTTTTTCAGTTTCATTCACAGACGATTTCGTATTGAGAAGGTGTGCAGAGCCCAGCCTATCACAAAACTAACAACCATTCCAAAATCCCTTGAAAACCACGCACGAAGCTGATCAGCTTACAATACCTCATCTCATCCTATCTGCTCGGTTGAAACTTCTTCGACGCAGGTTCATAGACCCACCACCATCCCACCGTCACCGTAACAGTCACACGGTAACACCGTAACACCGTCACACACAGTCCTGTGACGGTCAGTGTCGAACCAGCCGCATCCGCCGTCCGCACAGTCGGTTTGACGCCGAAGACTGAACCGCCGCCGCCGCCGCCGCCGCCGCCACCGCCTGGGGCGTTAGGGTCGCTGGCTGTCGACTCGCCTTCTGTGCCACTATCGATACCAATGTCGAATGGATCAGCCGGCCTTGGGGCAGCCAGTGTGTAAGTCCATTATGCGTTTGATAATTCAGGGGGTCGTTGGTTTGCATAATGGATCTATTTGCATGGTGTTAGCTGATGCAGATGCAGAGCGATAAGGTAAAAATAGTGGGGCGGATGTTAGCGCTGGGTGTTTTGAGCCGCTTGGTAATATAATCGGTATTTATTGGCTCGCTTATGTAAACGGAGGAAAGCAGCGTTGAATTTACATTTCATTATTATGTCGTCTTGTTTTTGACTGGCAAACGTTTCTGAAGAAACACGGTAGGTATTTTTTCAGATATTCATTACGCATTTTCTTTCTTATGTAAGGGTTCAATCTTCATAAGCTTCTACTGTTAGACCTCTATGCACATTTTGTTCTGCTTTGAAATTGCGACTATTCGGGCCGGTCGCCGTACTGGCAAGTCCAGCAATTGCCCGACCCGCTGGAGCCTATCGCCGCGTCTCAAGCGGCTAAGAGGCCGCGTGGCCATGCGCCCCAGGCGCTGGTCACGTGACCTGACCCGAGGCAGGGTCACGTGCCATGGCATCAGGCGGGTTTGCGGCGTCGAGGTCGCGCATTTGAGCCGAACAGGAGACAGTGCAAAGCGAGAATTGAATGGGTCGTGGTGCACTGCGTGCGGATGAGTGACGTGAGGGTTGTTGCGGGCTTTTGCAAAAATAAAATAAAATAAGAAGCTTCAGATAAAATGATCGATTAGTCAGCTGCCTATACTCAGAAATCATATCTGATATTATAATAAAGTCACCCGGAAATACACAGGCTTAAATAAATGGCTTTTTTTCTAGAACCGTATTTAAGAGAAAATAAATGAATGCAAGTATACCTATGTATATAACCATGTGCGTATAATTATAGACACAGTGATGGCAATGAATCAAAGGGATTGAGCTGATTCGAAACGCAAAAAAAAAAAACTGGAAAACAGCAAGAAAAACAAACGCAACACAAAAATGTAGGTATTCAAATTCACCCTTGCGAATGCACGCATCGAGCGAGCCATCTGCATGCACCGTCAATTTCACGCGGCGTTGTGCCGTTGCTAGGCAATGTCGATGTCACGTGGTAATAACAAACGACTATATCGACAACCTCCCACGGCGCCCGACCGACCCCATATTTCGTCAAAAAATTGCCTCTTATTCATGCAAATATGATGGATGGAGTAGGGTGATAGCACAGAGAACATTGTCTGTCGAATGAAGTGATGCAAGTTTTATCCAAAAGTCTAGTTTGGAATGGTGACATTTCTTAGTATTATTCATGTTCTTCACTTATAGCAAGTGCGCGAAAGTTAAAAGTGGTAGAAGGAGGCTGTAGCCAGAATACATGTTACATAACGATATAAATGATGAATGGGATGGGGTGAAAGAAACAACCAATGAAAATAAAATCGGGACTGAAGGAAAAATGGATGGAGAAAATGTGGCAATGAAAAGAAGGCTAATTAACTGAATGATGAAACACACGCGAGGACTACCCATTTTTTTTTTAAATTTAATGCCAAATGCAAAACCCAATGCCAAACACGGTATAGAGAAAGACCGTCGGTGGTAGTGAATGTAAGTAGGTATGTACTTCGCTATGAAAATGATTGAGCTCAGCAACTAATTACTAGACCAATGTTGCGGAATCTTTCGTGAAAAAAAAAAAATCAGAACCCCTTATTAGATCGCCGATCGATCGAGTTGCTGACAACGTTTTGATTGTGCATATGACTATTATTTGAGATTTTAGGTATGATCATACCACTCACCAAAATCGGTATGGGAATATGAGTTCGCCAGCCTTCATCGTCTAGTCAAGAAAATGTTATTGCCTCTATCCTCGCTACGTTTCAGCCACCCAACCCCATTAACTAAACCGTCGTTTTGTTATGTGCTCGTTAGCACCCCAACAACCAATCCGATCACCATGGTCGTTTGACTAACCACCAACGTTCAGTGGGTCACTTGGGGGCCTCTATAGCCCTCCACAGTCTGCTTAACTCGCCGCTACAACCCTAGAGCACGCCATACCGCCGCAGGGCTCACGGGTCTCTGGTGTACGGGGCAGCCGGGGGGGGGGGGGGGCGCTAGCGCCCAACAGTGCGGGTTAGAGGGCGGTTTGGTGACTGGAGTTTGCGAAGTGGCACAAAGACATGCGTTTCTGGTATTTGGGTAACGTAGTGAAGTTATGTCTAGGTCTATGGTATAGGTGCTAGGGGACGAATGCATCAATCAAACTCAAGTTACGTAATCGTAAAAAAAAATGCCGCGGGAGCCTGGTTGTCCTATATGGGAGTATCGATGGTAGCTTGTAAACGGAATTTGATGCTTACCTTACATGCAATTACCAAAGACACGATATCATGCTCAGAAAATCACACCACGAAATTGGCCAGCTGTGATTGTCAATCCTATTCAAAATTTGTCATCCAATATTTTCTGGTCCATTTTCTCTAGGTATCCGAAAACGTTCCTATTTCTTAGTTGCCTTTTTGGAACACAATAGCCATAAAAATACGTAGTGTCTCTCCCGAGCCGAAGAAGGTGAGCTTTTATCATGGCCAGTGGTTCACACCTCTCGACAGATTCTTTGTGGCCAGGGCCACAATGGTCGGCGTATCTCGTATGTTGCAATTTGATGCATTCTAAGCAGTATCATTAATAAAATAGGTACACCTTGTTGCTCAATGAGCACAAAGTTTACCTATTATTTACAATTGCAATCGTGCAAATGGCTTGTGCAGCATGCAGCCCTACCGCACTTACCGATTCATCAGAATCAGCCCTCTGTAAAAAAGTAATTTAGGCGGTCAGGAGGGATGGCATTATGTATGGATTCGCTTTTTTGTTATAAACAATATAAACCCTGACACCGTCCTGGTCACTCGTGCTGCTTAGTGTTAGCAATGGTAAACGCAGCCCCCTCCAAAGTCATATGGCAGCATGGGCGTGACTTTTCCTACTAGCCCATAGGGTTGCGTGTTAAAATGCGACTTTTCGCGCTCGATTTTCAAGGTTTCGTAGTGTGGGCATCCACACACAACGTATGTCAAAAGATAGCTACAACATTTTTATTTCCATTTTTGGGACGAAAAGTTCAAGCCCATCCAACCGTTTTCGAGATATTCGTCTATATATGACCCCATGTTTTTGATACATCGGAAGGTCCTGTGTTCGAATCTCGGACAGATCAAAACTTTTATCGTTAATGTGCGGCAAACCATTGCTGCAAAGTAAAGTAGGGGTGAGCGCGCTGGTGATGGAGGGTTGTAAGTTGGTATACCTGACCTTTGATTCAAGCCGGATTTTGTGGCACCAACCTCATTTTCAGGTCAGGTCAGGTCACTGACCTATGACGTCATAAGTGAACCTCTGCACGGTCTAGAAAACGTCGTAACATAGCAACTCCATCAATTCAAGGAGATCTATCGCAGGTAGACGAAACTTACAGAACTTATCAAACTCCCTTATTCTCAAAAGCGTTAACTTCGGATTTCTCCTAAGGGTCACCTAACGTCAGGTCGGTCAGGTGATCTGGCCATTATAAGCCGATGGGGGGGGGGGGATATAGAGACAGCTATTTTGGCGCTGACAGTGATCTTAGACGGAAAAGACACAAATAGACTCAGAAAGACCTTCCGAATTGAATAACGTGCAACTTGACCTCATCATGAGGTAATGACCTGACCTGACATTGGACGGAGGTCAACATCCTAAATTGACCTCACCCATAGAAAAAGCATATCATTCGACGTGGCTGAGCATCACGAACACGATGGTGTCAAAATTGCAGCTCTGATACCATTTTAGGCGACTACCGAACAATCCACTTCCTGGTATGCCAATGCTTTTATTATCTAAAGACGATGAACACTGAACATTCTCATATATGCAAACATGCCACTTTGGGTTACAGAGTAAGTGGTTCCCAATCGTACCTACTTACTACACGTTCTACACATCACACTACCGCTCGTAAGTGCAATGCAAATAAGCTTTGGATCGTTGGAAATAAACTTTGGCATTGGAAAATGTCACGGTATTACAAAACATTGACCACAATTAGATATCAGGTATCAATATCAGTAACATTCAGCTCATCCTCAACACATAACAATCAGACGGAGAACACTACGGTAAACCTCAAAGAGGCAATGAGGCCATGGTAGGCAATGAGGCATAGCTGCGAGCAGGATCTTCGATCTGAGAAAACATGAAGATGAAATTACATGCATCACACTTGCAATAAAAACAAACTCAAGTGATACTTATCTTTGAAAAATCAGGATGAAAGAACATGAACCTATTTGAAAAAATAACAAGCATTATCAGAGGAATAGTAGTTAATGCATGGTTATTTAAAAGACCTGTTGATATTAAGGTAGTGGATTGTTAACAGGATCTTAGAATGGTCGAGAGGTGTTACCTTCAGAAGGGTTTCCTTTCGTGGTCACACATTATTGATGTTAACAAATGAACACTGGGTGGTGCACACCCTGAAAGTGACAGCTTCACACAAGCTGTTGTCTATGTTGAAAACTAGGCTTCCTTCCTGTTCAGATTAAGACAGTTGATGGCACCTTTGGTTAGCTTTGTTCAAGGAAGCATTCATTTTGCCAGTGTCGGTTCAGTTCAGTTCAGTTCAGTTCATTGTATCGCGCTCGGTAGGGCAGCCTGGCTACATATAGGAATCTTGAGCCAGGCACAGCATACATGTAGTAGTGCATGTCTTGTCCTGAAAAAGGATCAGAGATATATGGCTAAGGAAGTTATGAATGGAATTGACTCAGGCTGCTCTGAGGATGATTGACCACAAAGACATGGCTATTGTGAAAGCCCTGAAATAACTTATGAACTGGTGTGTTTTGAGTGAAGTGGAATATCAAGAACAACATTAAAAAAGAAAAAGTAAAAATTGACCTAAAAATTATCTTCCATGTTTAGTTTCAATCACCTAAATCTTACGCGTTTTCATACAAACTAAAATTACCAAGAAATTGCACAATTATCACTTACATGTGGCAACAAATGCTTCTTTCTACTTACTATCCACTTTCATGGATGCAGGATGCATGTGTTTTGATTTCATTATCACAGCAACACAGTTGTACGAGATGCTTACACAAAGCATTATGTTATATGTTGATGTTATTCAGCTAGAGCCTGGGACAGTGATATTGTATTGTTAAGTTTGTTCAAAACCAATGTCCCAAAATTTGCCAGTTTTGGGTGGGAAATGACATCCAACTGAAATCAATTTTCCACTTTCATCTCCAATTTTCAAGAACAATTTTTCACACTGAAATAAAATTTTGGGACACTGTTCACTGTTCATAAGTCATAACACCAGCTTCATTTCTTAGTAATGATAGCTTTCAGAAGACTTCAGTCTTCCTTCATCAGCCTGTCAGGGCTCTAAAAATACATACAAACGAGTAGTGACCAACATAGAAAAGACAATACACAAATGTCGTACGAAAGCTGCCATTGCAAATAGATAAAGCTGGTGTTTATTTTATTTATTTATTTATTTATTTATTTATTTATCAGAATCACCAACAGGGACAAGCCCCACTGACAGGTGAAGTCAACATAAAAACAGTTAAACGCAATCTTTGCAATACGATTATACCAAATATGCTCACAGCTAAGTCGAAAGGTGTCACCATGCATCACAATTGATAAAATTCCTTGAAACTTCTTTTTTAAAACATTGTTACGCAACAGTGAAAGAATGAGAAAGCATGAGGCTGGCCCACCACCCAGTCAAGTACAGCAGTTTGCAAATTTGCACACAGTTACTCAGAAAGGCCTTTGTTCAAACAATTCCATGCATAATGAAGAGCCAATTTTTTAATGCACACGATAGTTATTAAATACTTAGCCAGCACAATTTGTAAGTCTTTAAATGAAGGGAGAACACCATGGAACCGCGTGAAACCACAAGCCGCCTTGTGTATAAATATGAAGCGCAATGTATTGAAACACGAGCGCCAGCTGCGCCGCGCTTCAGCGCAGCCATATCCTAGGATAATTTTCGGTATATAGTAAAAAGCTCCCAGTTCTAGTTGTTTTTCTAGATGATATAGTATAATTCTAGTATATACTAGGAAAAACTTTGGAGTACCCGACTCTTTAGTGCCCTGGGTAAACGTAAAGAGTCGCCAAAGTCGAAAGATATCAACCTTGTGTACACTGGCGGATCCTGGGGGGGGTCCACGGGGTCATGACCCCCCCCAAAAGGTCTGAGAGGGTCATTTGACCCCCCCCAAAAGCCGAAGACCTAAATGCGCTATAGACGCCGTCTTGCATGCTCAAAATCACCTGTCAAACACTTCTGAGCTAATACCTTTGTTTTTCTGGATCGTGTTGCGTGAAAAGGCGTATTGAAGACCAGAATCTTACTCGTTTTTGTCTCAACCGTGCGAGCACCAGGGGATGATCCAGGAAAACTCCAAGGGGATGGTCATGAATTTAATTCGTGGTGCCCCTACCTATACGCAAAATTAAAAACTCAACGGATTTCGGTCACTTAATTTTGGTGATGTCCTATTTTCATTTTTTATTTTGTTTGTTTTATTTTTAGTGCCCCTGGGCCCTGGCAGGTCAAAATCACGTCTGAGGCGAAAGAAATTCACGGGAATCCCAAAAATCACGTCAGGACATTCAGGGCCCTCTGACCAGCCTGACAGCTAGGGCCCTTCTTACTTCCTGGGGCCTCCAGTGAATAACCGCTAGTGTCTGTGTCTGACCGCTAGGGCCCCTCTGACTCCTCAGTAGGTAGGAGGCCCTCTGTAGAGGAGGTCCTCTGTAGAAAGGAGGCCCTCAGTAGAGAGGAGGCCCCCTGTAGAGAGGAGACCCCTTTAAAGAGGAGGCCCTCTGTAGAGAGGAGACCTGCTGTAGAGAGAAGGCTCTATGTAGAGAGGAGGCCCTGTGTAGAGAGGAGGCCCTCTGTGGAAAGGAGACCGCCTGAATGCAGAAGGCCCTCTGAAGAGTGGAGACCCGCTGTAGAGAAGAGGCCCTCTGAAGAAAGGAGGCCCTCTGTAGAGAAGAGGCCCTCTGAAGAGAGGAGGCCCTTTGCAGAGATGAGGTCCTCTGGCTCTTTGAAGAGAGGAGGCCCTCTGTAAAGGAAGCCCTCTTAAAGGGAGAGACCCTCAGTAGAGAGGAAGCCCTCTGTAGAGAGGAGGCCCTGTAGCTTCTGTAGTTAAGAGGCCCTGTGAAAAGAGGAGGCCCGCAGTAGAGATCGGTGGTCCTCTGTAGAGAGGAGGCCCCCTCTGTGTTTTGACAAATGTTTTTGCAAATTTTTCGCGGCGCTTCGCGCCGCCGATTTATGTACATACGTACAGGTCAATACGAAATCTTGACTGTAATTACATAAACCAACCGTGTCAAATTGAATCAGAATTCATATGTGTGCTGTAAAGGAACTCCGGCTTGTACTGCAATGCTAAAAGGGTGGTAAAATTTGTGTTTTGGAGCTGTGTTTCGACACATTCTTTTGCAAATTTTCTCGGCGCTTCGCGCCGCCGATTTATACACCAATCAATAAGAGAGAAATAACAGTGACTGTAATAACACCAACCGTGTCAAATTGAATCGGAATTCATATGTGTACTGTGAAGGAACTCCGGCTTGTACTAGCATGCTAAAAAGGTTGTAATATTTGTGTTTTAGAGCTGTGTTTTGACAACTTTTTTTTGCAAATTTTTGCGGCGCTTCGCGCCGCCGATTCATACACAGGTCAATAAGAGAGATCGTGACTGTATGCTACTATTTACTAATGCATTAGGCTAAAAGTGAGGTAACTATATCTACTTCTGGGTTTTTAAGTCGGTCGACCCGCCTCCCCCCCCCCCAGTAAAAAATCCGTGGCGACGCTCCTATATAGGTGGGTTTCACTAACTAAAACTACTGAGCCGAGTGACTTACGATAAAACTTCATCTTATAAACGACGAAGATCAAATGTCATTTTTTGATCTCGACATACTCGCTCCCTACCCCCCCCCCCCCCCGGTCGTCAGAATTCATTCACCAGACCTGGTATGTCGGCCGACTGGTGACCCCCCCCAAAACGACCCCCTAGATCCGCCCTTGCTTGTGTAAGTTGTGTTGTGGCTGTGGTTGTGTTGTAAGTTGTGGCAATAGTCACAATGTGTTGTCTACATTCAATGTATAGAAACTGTGTTCATGTAATGTTTATGCTCATACCTGTACGGACGCCCTGGTGGCCGGCCGTTTGAGCGGCGAGTTGAGAGCCGCAGAAAAGTGACCCGCCGCCTGCGGGTTCCTGGCTATGGAGACACTGCGGGACCGGCCGTGCTCCTTCCTTCGCTGTTCGTTGACGGCGTTGGCCACCTGGCCGGCGTGGCCCGCGTGCGGCATAGTGCCACCTGGAGGGAAAGGTCAGAAGAGGTCAGGTCAGGTCAGAACGTGGCAGAACAGGGCAGGTCCGAGCGGGTCAGATCAGAGCAGGTCATAGCAGGTCATCAAAGGTCAGGTTTGGTCAGAGCAGGTAACCGCTGATGGAATTGGAAGGCAGCACAGATCAAGCCACACCACAGTAGCACGCCACTACAGGTCAGGTCACAGATATATAGCTTAAGTCAGAGTAGGCAAGGACAAGCAAATAATCAAGTAGATCAGGAGAGGTCAGTAAAGGTCAAGACAATGTATCGCAAGTCAGGGCAGGTCAGGTCATTCAAAATCAGAGAAGGTGAGGTCAAGGTATGACAGTTTCGGGCGGCATAGTTCGGGAGAGTACAGAGCAAGGTGCATGGTATAGGAAGAGGTCAAAATAGGTCAGACTTGAGGTCACCTTGAGGTCAGGGCAGGCAGCCTTTTTCATAGACATTCTTGTTCGGCCTCGTTTAGGAAGTGCGATGCCGGTCAATGCGCGTCAGCCAAGTCAAAAATGGGTCAGACATTGTTTCCGACCAAATCCTGCCCGGCCTTGGCCCGAGTAGGTGCCGCCCTTGGTACCCCTGGCGGCAAAACTGGAAACTAGAGTTACAGCTCCGGATCGTGGTGAAAGGCTTCGAACCGAGCTGTTGCGTGTCGAACAACATCTATGACGGCGCATGACCTTCTTGCAGTGACGTCACATCATTAACTGATGACGTCATCGGGTGCAGAGTCAGATGGCGCCACTGGTTACACTGTCAATGCCGCGGGCAGCGGCGTCAGCAAGCATTAAGCGACATCCTTCCATAACGGGTCGTGAATAAGAAATGGGAAGAGTGACAGCCACGGCAACACAAAAAAAAACACACACATACAGGCTATTTAGACACACAGTGGTGGACTCCGCTGAGGTCAGTGTGTACCCATAATGCACCAAAAGAACCTTGGGCATAGGTTCATTTGTGACCCTTCTTCCAAATCCAGTCCAGGCGTGAACGCTTCTCCAAAACGGATTGCTAGGTATAGGCTCCCAAACGGTTATCTTGCATCGCTGGCGGCCGTGGAGGATCAGACATAAAGGCAACGCCCGCATTAAAAAAAAACGATTTTAGTACCTATAACGGCCGCTTATATGTATGACAGTGGATAACAAATGAAAACCTGAGCATTGATTGCTGCCCCCTCCCCCCCCCCCATCCCCGAACCCTTCTAAGTTCTATGTTGAGCCGCCCTCCCAAGTCGAATTCAGGTGCCCTCCTTTTGAGACGCCCTCGCCCAGTTTTTCAGCCCCAGCCCCCAGATTCATCATGCAGGGAAGCAGTGTCCCTGGGTGGGTAGATACTAGTGATGTCAATTACGGAAAATCGGAATACCGATACCAAACCAAATACCAAGCAAAACCACGGGAAAATACCGAAACCAAACTAACTGGGGAAATGAGGGAAATACCAATTTTGTACCGATTTCTTAGCCTCTTATACATTAGTGAGAGTTTATGATACCAACAAAATACCGAACACATTACGATTGAAATACCAAATACCAAGTTGGTATCGGTTTGGTATCGGTATACCAAAAAGTTGGTATCCGATTGACATCTCTAGTAGATACTAAATAGGCGCCCATTGAACCTACCCTTAGCGACTGCGTGGATGGTGTGGATGTGCCTTTCAGCTAGAATCAAGAACAATCATAAAGACATATGCTCAAGTGTGAGGATTGGTCGGTCCTGAAGATATATGTAAAGTGGGCGGATTGCACGACCTTTTCAGTTCTCAAATTACTGTCTTCGTTTCTTCGGTCTTTCCCACACAATGCTCTCCACCAATGTTGGAGAGTATTCAGATATGTTTTGGTAGTAATTACGGAGCGACCGAAGCGAGCGGAGTCTTACGTAGAATAACGGAAATTGCTGAGAATGAGCGGCCGGCCGGCCGGCCGGCCGTGGTCACGATTTTGCGACGCTTATATCTCAGCAACCACTTGACCGATTTACACGCGGTAATTTTTGTAGGGTAGCTTCATTCCTTCTACCAAGTATTGGACTATTCCCGATGCATGTGGGTGACCCCTTATGCACGTGCCACGTGCAAAACGAAGAG